TGTTCCAGTGCCTCACCACCCTCTGAGTGAAAAACTTCCTTCTAATATCTAACCTAAACCTCCCCTGTCTCATTTAAGACCATTGCACCTTCTTCTCCTCCAAAACATTCCTTTGATAACACAGGAGCTTTTTCCCTGTGTTAACAAGGAGAAACTTCCTGAACTTAAAGCACACATATCACAAAGAATACCAAAGTTCACCACATTATTAAGATTAATATATTCCACCTGTATAGATAAGAGTCGAACTATTGAGCCTACAAGAATCAAGCATATAATCTGAAAAGTCTAAATTTTGCTTTGTTTCAATTCTGCAATTAAGATCCCCTGGATAAGAAAAAAAAAAATAATAATAATTTATAATTTTCAGTATTTTTAATGCTGAAAATGTTTTCTGTTAGTTCTGACATCCTCAGTACTTTGCTCTAAAATGTTTTGCTAGTATCTGAAAACATTCAAAACAGTGTGTTTGATGCGGTTAGTTAAAAGTCAACATTTCATCAATCCAGTATTATATATTCTTCAGTTGTAGTTTTTGTGTGTGCATGTTTGGGTTTTTGTTTGTTGTGTTTTTTTGTTTTGTTGGGGTTTTTTTGTTTGTTTTTTTTTTTGTTTCTTTTTGCTTTTTTGGTATAATATTAAAATAATGTATTTATTAAGCTTTTTAAAAGTTCCCATTCTCCAAATGGGATTTGGAGAACAATTTTTGTGGGGGGAAAAAAATCATAGACAAGAAAGTGCTATTACTCTTTGAAGGAGACACCTTCACAATATCCAGCTGCTTTTGATGGCATGATCTAAGATCATCCTTCCTAAACCATGTTTTAATTTCTAAAATACTTTTTCTTTAACAAAGTTGAAGGCAAAAGGCAGGCGTTACAAATTGGATTTATAAGTATATGATATGCAACCTGAAACATACTTAACCTACCCTCCCCCCANNNNAAAAAAAAAAAAAAAAAAAAAAAAAAAAAAAGTATTGATTACCTTTCCTAGATAAGTTTTATTGACCTTTGGCTTTCTGGAGCAATGGTGATGAACTTCAGCCTTGTATCTGATAGCTGGCTCTTTTGGAGGCTTATTAATGGGGGAGGCTGGCTATGCTTCTTCAAGCAGGTTATGAAAAACTCAACATGTTCTTTTTTTTTTTTTAAAACCAGAGATAGCAAAGCATACAAATGTACTTGAAAAAGGTTATAATGTTTTTTAAAATTACCTGTCTAAATTTCTCAGGCTTTTTTTTCTTCACACAGAAGAGAATGAGATGTATCAAAATATTTACTTCTTTGTTTGTTCTTTACTACTTGTTTGTTAGACAAGAGCCCCCTCTAAAGTGGGCTTTAGAACTTCGCTCAAGGTCACAAAGGGAGAAGAGCTGCTTGTTCCTCTGCCAAGCTCCCCATGACACCAAAGGACAGAGAGACAGAAAGAAAGGTGCAGCCAAAAGCCAGAGTGTGACTGAATGCTGGCTGAAGTACCCCAGCTGGTATCTGGCAATACCTGTGTACTTCCAAAAGGGAAGTGTCCTAACGTAGGCAAATGCTTGGGGTGATGTGAATAGGACCTAGGTTATATATTTATAAAGAATTTCTTTCCTAGCTTGTTTCTTCAAGTGCTTAACTTTTTTTTTTTTTAATTATTTTTATTTTCTCATATGAAAACAGAATATTTTGTCTAACTAGTATTTAAACTGAAGAAGTTTCAGTTGCAAAAATTTTAAAATATTTTAAGATACAGATTTTCTCCTGTAAAAACAGTTGTAAACTCAAGATTTTATGGAGGTAGTACGTATAGCTTGGACTCAGAACCAGTAAAAACTGTGCCTGTAAAAAAAACTGTGCCGGTAAAAACTGATTTACCTTCTGGTTTCTTATTAAATTAAAACTGTTCTTACAAAAGGGAGAGAAGAGCTACATTACATAGGCTAGGTAAACATGTAGAACTGGTCTGAGAAATGAAAAAGACATAAACAGCAACTTCTGTATGTCTGTACTGTAACACAAATCTACAATAACCTCCTTTCAAAGACCTTCCTCCTTTGCCTGCAGTGCAAGTGGTATCAAGACGTACCATTGTGTTACCTCTGCACAATCACACACATGCAGTTCTGCTTTTTACTCCTACTGTTCTTAAAATCTATTCCAAGCTACCCGCAGTTGGAACAGTATGTTCGTCATTTGAGATACCAGTGAGATCTACATAAAGCAAGCCGTGAAAAAAAAAACTGTAGGATTATATTTAATATATTTACAGGTTTCTAACAGCCATTAGGGAGAGTGGACAAGGAAATATTTTCTGTAGAAATTTCAGATAATCTGAAGATTCCTTGGGAATGCTTTGCAGGCTGTGATTTTGAAACATGGTAAATTTCTGAATGCAGATAAAATTCTATCCCTGGTAACCTCAAAACAGAAAACACTTCAGAAACTTTTTTCTTGAAGATTGGTGATCTGAAAGTGTACAGAATACAAATCTGAAGTCCCTATGAAAAAAAAAAAACAAAGGCACAGCATTAATGTTTCATTGATAAAACTAGAAGAGATTAGTTAGTATTTTTTGACCTGAAAAAAATATCTACAGAATAGTTTTTAGCAACCATTAACAATGACATTAATACTTTAAAATACAAGTATTTCTTTAACTGGGACAATTATTTTGTGTTACTATGAAATTGCAGCTATAGTTACCTCATTTGCACATTGTAGTGAATTAGTTAATATGTCTTCTAATGAATAGAATGAATGTAAGACTTGCCCGACTCTTAAGCAATTAATGTGACTGGTGTACCCTATCACCATTTTCAGCAGACATATGTGGAGGCAAAGCAGGACTGCAAAATTTCTGTTCTGAGTTCTCATTAAAAGCATTAATCAAGAGAATCCTGAAGGGGAAGGAGGGAAAACAAACAAACAAAAAAAAAACCCTAATTCTTTGAAACAGATTTGTATTCCATCTCTGTTCACGATTTCAGTTTTAAATCACAGAATCATGTAATCATAGAGTCAAAGAATGGTTTGGATTGGAAGGGACCTCAAGGATCATCAATTTCCAACTCACCTGCCACAGGCAGGGTTGCCAAACACTAGACCAAGTACTTGATCACATTGCCCAGGGCCCCATCCAACCTGGACTGGAACACCTCCAGGGATAGGGCATTCCCAACCTCTCTTGGGCAGCCTGTTCCAACACCTCACTACCTTCTCTGTGAAAAACTTCCCTTTGGCATCTAATCCAATTTTTCCCTCCTTTAGTTTAAAACCATTCCCTCTTGTCCTACTGCTATCTACCCATGTAAAAAATGTAAAAAAAATCATTGTATCCATTAGTATAGTAATAATCATATCAGGAATTTTTTGCAGGGAGAGTTTGCAGATCTCATCCCTGCTTGTATACAGGGTCTCAGTTTTCAGTAAATCAAGATGACAGTGAACAACTTCAGATTTGGGGATGAAGGAATTGTGGGAATTGTCACATACGTCCAGTTAGCTGTTTTGCAGAAAATATTTACTAATATATTAATGAAGTATCCACTATTTCATGTACTTAATATGCCTTATATGAGCACAAAGCCAAGAATTCTTAAGGTCTGTGTTACTCCTAGGGTGAAACAAGGAAGATGCTTTCCTGTAGGCTTTTATTCAGAATCACTTTGAAAGTTCTCAAGGCATAAATCTCTAGTTACTTTCCTGGGATGCTTTTCTACAGCTGACTAGGAAGTTTTTTCCTGATATTCACTCTGAATATCACATTGCTTTGGAGACCAGAAGGATAGCACCCCTGTCTGAAAAAATTCTGAATCTGCATTCTACCAGGTCCTCCATTCTACCACCATTCATTCAACAAATGTATCAGAGACGGGTTTTTTGTTTGTTTGTTTGTTTGTTTTCCACTGTCTAAATTGTTAGTCTCAGAATTGCTAGATACTTTACCTGTGTAGCATTAAAAATGCAGAACATATAGCTGAAAAATAGATTCATTTCCTCCTGACTTATTAGCATGAGGTAGCCAATCGTCCAGGTGATTCCAAGCACCACTACTATAGAGATAGTGGCAGTCATCTTTTTCATGAGTGAATCCTTTTTATTCCTAGAAAAACACACAAAAAAAGTTTCTTCTCCATATAATTTAATCTATTTTTGAGTTTAAACTTTCTATTTTACTTACTAAGGACTGTATTGCAAATATCTGTTACTCAGCTAAGTTGAGAACATGTATCTTACTACATTTGTTTGGGGTATCATCCAGGAAATAAATCGAGAAAAAGAAATCTGCCCAAGCTTGTATGAATAATCTGTCTTTGGAATATCTAGTGTAGCTGTATGTTTCTTTGATTAAAATGTGAGGTTTATCAAGGCAGCATGAAACACTGGAAATTAGGAAGTTAGCTATGATAAGCTTTTTAGAATAACTTCAAGCCTAATGTTCACAATTTTCAGTATAAGAATTAGCTTCCATTGAAGTGTGGATATCCAGTTTTTCTTCAGCCCATGAGGAGTCAGAGAGATGGTATTTCAGTCTACTCCAACTATTAAAATTGTATGTAAAAGGAATGAAGTGCAAAGCTTTGTTGAATAGGTTAGTTCTTCGAGATTAGTAAACAGTAAAGCATAACCTTCATTGAAGCCAAGTTGAGTAACATGGCAACCAAAACCAAAGTGATGGTGGCTAGGGGGGAAGCCTGCAATGTGCTCATTTATGTAAATGAGAAAATTCTGACCCATTACAACAGTGGAAATAACTCTCTAACTTTAGCATTTCTTTAAAACAAATGATTTTCTCAAAAATCTGAGTTTGTAACAAGAAAGTCTGAGCTCTTAATAAGAGATTGAGGAATATATTCTGAAAGATCTGAGGAATTCTATGACACCTCACCTTGTCAGATTCTTGTTCTCCTTCCATATCACAGTAACAATGATCTTGATGAAGATGGTAACGTTAAAGAAGAGTATGAATGCTACTGGCAAAAGGAAGGACCAGAACATGGGTTTTTTCATGCTGAAATTCTGATTTTGATCCAGGGCTGCAAGCCAGCAACTTTTAATACAAAGAGAGGCAGTTTCAAAAGATTTGTTAGGCACATTGTTCAATACACCAAAACAAAACCAAACTGTTGGCTATTTTTCATCCTGAGGGACCCCATAGGGCTTTCTAGCCCTAGCCTGTCTCTGAAAGGCAATCATTCCTCGACAACGGGGCTTTCAGACATGTTTCTTTGGGAAGTGCCAGTGATTTATCAAATAAACTGCAGAGGTAAATATTACAGAGTGGCTTATAGCTAACCAAATAGGTATCTGTCTCCATATACAAGTTTAGAGTAAATATTATAATAAATCTGAAGAGGAAAAGGGAAAACTTTACGGACAGAGGTTGAAACAAAAGCGGGAGCAGATTCAGGAGGGTGAGGTTTCCCTTCAATCATATTTTCTTCCTTTTTTTCGTTGACAAATAATTGCAAGCTAGATGTCAACACTCTCTATATCAGTGCAATGAGATGACCACCACAGAATCATAGAACGGCTTTTTCTACCCTTATATAATCATGTGGAAGGGTGTCTGTATTTCTGAAGTAAGTGTTTTCTCTGTATCATACGCTATCACCAAGGAGCACTGCAAGTCTGCTCTGGGGTGCTGGCATCCAGATGAATGCAGATATGAAAAACACACGGTATTAAGGCATATAGTTACACCCACCAAAAAGATTTTAAATAAATCAAAGGACTACATTTAAGTACTGAAATGCAGTTACGCATTTAAATGAAGGTCTTCAATTTCAGTTTCTGTAAAACTGTCTACAAGTCTCATTTAAAGCCACAGGAGATCTTGCAGGAGGATTCAGGGCAGATATAAATCCAGCATCCCACATTCTTAGTGAGGAAAAGCTGCAATTCCTTATAATGAATGTTAAGTTTGAGTGAAGAACTTTGCTTTTTTCTTTTAGTAGAGGCACTTAAATATACAAAATAATATACTAACAATAAACCTGGAAAGGTATTAATAATAAGCCATCACATAAGGTATACGATAGCAAGTATTGTAATGACACACAAACTTACAATTCTTCCTGTCGGTAGTTTAAAGCTTTCCCTTCTCCATAAGTAGCTCCAAGCGTTATTGCAACTACTACAGCAGGGACCCCTAATTAATAAAAGAGACACTGGCTTGTTATTTTCAGTTGCATAGATGTGCCTTATCTCCATTCTACATAAATAACTTCTTGCCTACTCCCTCTTTCAGCCCTATTGTAGATCTGCCAACTATTGGCTGTGCTCTCAAAGTCTGAAAAGCAGTGAGTCAGAATTGTGCTCTTTCAGAAGCACGAATAGTATCAGGACAATGAAGAACCTAATGCTGGATGACTGTGATGTGTGGCCAGGCAGCTTTCACTGAATGTTTTCTGACTTGCGTGTGCAGTTCAAATTCTAGAAGTTTTAGAGAAATTGTCTCTGCCTCCACTCAAATGCAAAAAATAGTAATAAAAAAAATCAGGATCTAAGTTGACTTGTAGATGCCATTAGAAACAACTTACCATACATGCTGAATAGACAATGTGGAAATGGCATGTAGTCTTGTGTATTGTATTATTTTTACTTTATCTCCTGGGCATCTAACTGCATTCTTCAGTCCTTCAAATAGTTTCCTTTCAGCCTGCAGTGTTGCTGCTAATTGCTATTACTTTTTTAAGAATGCACTCTTATTAATACATAATATTGTATTATTACAAAATGTTGATGCATAATATTAATATTATTAATAATATTAATTAAATAATTAATATTAATAATAATATTACATAATGATAATACATAATATATAACAAATTAAGTCAGCCCATGCTTTTGGATGTATGCAAGGCTCTGGTGGAGGTCATGAGACATCTCAGCGAGAGCTCAATGAAGAATGTGAGTCTCCATATACAATCACTGTATCTGAAAAAAAAAAAAAATCCTGTAGTTGACAGAAACTGATTGTTGAATGCCTTGATTATTGTAAAAATTTTTCCTACATGCAATAGACGTACGTTGCTGTGCTGGTGAATGAGCTCTTGTTTCCAGTGCTGTATCAAGACAGTGAAAACAAGCTTAGCTTATAGCAATTGAGTAAACTGTAACAGGGGATTATTTATTAAACCATGTTGTCTAAACCAGAGATTACAGTTCCTCATTACTGATCTGCTATTTTTTACCTCTCTCTGACTGTACTATGTACTGATACTTTGGTAAGAGTTGGAAATATTTACAACTTTAAATCTTACCCCATCCGATTGCTGACATGGTTACAATGAAGTGTCCAGGAAAGGGTTTCATGGTTCTAAGCAGCAGTAAGTACAGTTGTGCAGAATTGAGTGCTGTCCACATAAATGTTGCCAACAAAAAGTAGTGCAGCAGGACAGCCACAACCATGCACCAGGCATTTGCAGGAGGATCTACCACATCAGATGTGAGTATGGTATTAGTGGTGGTGTAGGTATTGAATTGCTGGTTATTTCCACTGGTATCACTACTGTCATTCCTGGCATTTTGGTTTTCGATTCCAGAGATGAAGATGATATTAAAAATTAGCATGGAGGAACAGAGACTCACTAACATCCACGTTATAGATGACTTTCGTGTTTTCCTATACATAGGAAGATATTTTGGAGGAAAAAAAAGGAAAGCAAAATAAGAAGGATTTTAAAACACTTCTTCATTCAAGCTGACGTTAAAAGCAAGGTAGAGTGTGCAAGCCTTAACATACAAGCCTTAACAGAGAAAAAAAACAAACAAAGTAACTTGTCTGCAGAATTCCACACTGCAGTTACTCTTGGACAACTCATCTAATTCATCAGTTTGATCTGATTTTAACTAGAACAGAGATGACCCAGCACCTTCTAGGAGTGGGCCCATTCCAAAATTATTTGGAATGCATTTAATTTTTTTTACTTTTCTCTTTTTAGAATCATTTTCTTCGGTGTTCAGAGGTGAAATAGCATACGACAAGCATTTGTAAACAACAATAATAGAACTCCACTTCCATGTTCTGTATAATAAATGCATTTAAAAAGCAGAATCTGGAAGCTCCTAAAATCTTAAATCTGACCTTGATGGAATTACTCCAAATTTGACATTCATTCAAGCAAGATGAGAGTTCTTAATCTATAATAGCTACAGCTTTGTTGGCTTGACTTTGCTCCTTGCTCAAGGAGGAATCACATGACACCATTAGTTCCAGATGTGTCCATCTAGAAAATCTGTGATAATTGTATTTGAATGAAATAATTCATTACAAAACTGTAACACAAGAAGCATACATAACCTGCATTGCTATATATTCATGATGCTTTGAAATCATCTGTTTCATGTTAGGTGGCATGCCATAGCTTCTTGTGTATAGACATCTCATAACTTCACCAATCAGTAAGATACCTTCCTAGGTTATGCAAAACAATTAGATTGTTTTTTAATACTGTCTGCTGATCAATAATATTGCAATATGTTCCAATCTGGATTCTGTCTCTGTTTTCCCCCAAACTATATACAGAGCAAAATATTATAACTTAGCATAAAATACAGTTTCACATCTTCAGGCTTACCTAGTGAATATTTGAAACAAAATGGTAGTGGTGAGACCAGCAATGGACAATCCAACACCAATGTAAGAGATATACTCCAAAGGCCTAGCGTATTTATATTTGATCTGAAAGGCCTAGAAAACAATTTGCATCAGTTGTAAGATAAAAAGATATCATTTTCTTTGTAAACTTTGTTTCTATTTGCACACAGAAATGAAAATGTTTTAGTAAAGCTATGACTGTTGCTAGCTACTGCCAAAACTTCCAGATCACATAAAATTATTCCTGACATCAAAACAAGAGAAGCTTGCGAAGAATTGCAAAAGGAGATTTAAGAAAGCCAATCAAATGTTCTGCAAAATAGCAATTGAATTATTCATAAAGAGATGTAAATCAACATAGACAGAAAAGAATAGCTTTAATTTTTCATACTGATGTGCATTCTGAATTTTGACTTCTGAGGTTAAGGTCTAAAAGAAGATGTTGTGAGGAATTCTAAACCAAAACCAGCCTTTGTATAGTGTCAATAAAGCAGTGAGCAAAATGTAAATGTAGTCAGAGAAGAAAATACTGTTAACTTTGCTTAAATGAATGGAAATCTTATAATATAGTCATTTTATGCAAATAAGGGCATGCATATAAAGGGAAACAAGTAAATGTTATAAATACGGAAATGCTGTTTTGTGAAGGCAAAGTAAAAAGAAACTGAAATCCTTACACTCGGAAAGTGAGTGACCACCAGTGCCTGATGCTGCCCAGAGAGTGTTCAGGGAAGCAGAAGCCAGTACTGGCAGAATAATGAATGATGGAGACAGTTATACCCAAATAGTCGTGTAGGTATAGGAGAGCATTATAGAAAAATAAATGGCAGTAGGTCTAATATTTACAGATGAATTGTTGCTTGTGAACATATAAGCAAAGTGCCAAGTGCTTTGAGCTGTTTGCTCAGCACAAGGTAGTACCACAGCTAACACAGATCCCAAGGTACTTTTTTGTTGGTGTCAGGACACCTTAGTTTCCAGACATTTAACAGTAAGCTGCAGCAGCTCAGGTGCAGAGCTGGGGGCTACCACAGCATGAGGGGAGCCACCACTTCCTTGCAGGTTAGGTGCAAAATCAGGTGGACTTAGCCAGGCTTTATGCCAGACAAAGCCAGGATGCACCCATACCTTTGGCCTTCTATCATCCTGGGGACTGTACGTCCCAGTTTGCCAGCACTGCCAAAGGTCAGAGACAAATAGATACATCTTCAGCTGCTGTTCCTTCTAGCTCAGCATCCTCCAAGCCAGGGCACTGCACCCAAGCCCTTGTAAGTCAGAGAACAATTGAAAACCAATAATAAAAGAACTACCACACCAGACTCTTCCCATTCGGGAATAATTAATGCCCTACCATCAAAACAGCAAAATTAGTAGTGTGATTGCACTTGCATCTCAAGAATTGATCTCTTCCTTTCATACAGCCTGCGGTGCTCCAGTCGTTGATAGCATAGTCCCAAAAGACACAGGCATGATCACGCAGCTGAAGTTCGGACGTGTTGTACTATGGAATGGGGTTACAAGAAGAGAAAATGGGCAAGAGAAACACAAACAGATATGCACCAATGTAGAGACAATCTTTTGAAAAGAGAGATGATAGCTACTTAGAGATTTCCTGGCTTTTCAGCAAGCATTATGAAGGTTATCAGTAATAGTTGGCTTTTTGGACTCTCAATGTCCTTTCTCAGTCAAGATTGCCAATGAAATTTCTATGAATAATTCAGATAAACGTCCACAAAGCACTAAATAAAATTCCAAGAAGTCTGCATAAGCCAAGCAGTTTTCAGATATTAGAAATTTTAAATTACTGCCAATTGATAACTGCTGAATTCACACTGTAAAAGGAATAAAATATTATAAATTCTGCAAACCATTCCCCACCCTCAGCACATGGCTTGCTCACAGTCATATGTCAACCTGCATGCTGTATTTTTCAGACAAAAGACAAAACACTTCAGCATGTTACTGCAATTCGAACTGTTTTTTAAGAAGCAATAAACAGCTTGAAGTGCAAATAAATATTAAAAGTAACCTTACTAACATTATTTGCAGTTAAATGAGACATAAATGTAGGAGTAAGAAAAAAGCATTTTTCCACATAACAGACTTTGTTTCCTAGAAGACTTAACAGTACAAATCTATGATGGTGATTACTGATCTTCCGTACTCATGTGTTGAAGGCTTAAAACCTTTGTCACGTGACTTAGATATCTTAAGAAGAAGCAGTAACATCTGGAATAATTTCCTCATGTAGGAAATTATAGAATCATAGAATGGCTCAGGTTGGAAAAATAACTTAATCATCTAGTTCCAATCCACCTGTTGTGAGCAGGGCTGCCACCCATCAGCTCAGGCTGCCCAGGGTCCCATCCAAAGTGGCCTTGAATGCCTCCAGGGATGGGGCATCACAGCTTCTCTGGGCGGCCTGTGCCAATGCTTCACCATCCTTCGAGTAAAAAATTTCCTCCTAATATCTAACCTGAATCTCTGCTCTTTTAATTTAAAGCCATTCCCCCTTGTCTTATCACTATCTACCCATGTAAAAAATCGGTCTTCCTCATGTTTATAAGCTCTTCAGAAGTACTGGGAGGTCGATATGAGGTCTCCCCTGGAGCCTCTCTTCTGCAAAATGAACAAGCCCAACTCCTTAACCTTTCTCATAGGAGCCCTTTTATCATCTTCATGGCCCTCCTCTGGACCTGCTTCAACAGCTCCACATCAGTCTTATGCCTAGGGCCACAGACTTCATCGCAGTACTCTAGCTGGTGCCTCACAAGGGCGGAGTAGAGGGGGACAATCACCTCCCTCTCCCTGATGGCCACTTCCTTTTTGATGCAGCCCAGGATACAGTTGGTCTTTTGGGCTGCAAAAGCATGCTGCTGGCTTGTATCAAATTTTCATCCACCTGGAACCCCAAATGTGAATCCACCAAACTCTGTCAACTACTTATTGCCACAAAAAAAGGTGGTATGCCATAAAAACAAATAACAACAATAAAAACGCACTGACATCCTCCCTCCCACAGTGCAAACAAAAAAAAAAAACAACACAACAACACACTTTTATATCTTTCTGAGTATTGAAGACAGGTAGTAGGATAAGGACAGCCTCTGGTCAAACTAAGCACGTCATTTCAAACAGAAGCTTACCTTGGGATTGAAGGCTATTTCAACACCACTGGCTCTTCTGCCATCAATATTGCCAGAAATAATTTGTTTAGATAAATTACTGCTACTCCTATAAATCCTTGACTGGAAGAGTTTGTCATTTTGATAAAGGACAAAGCCAACTCTGCCATCATTTGACGAACCTTCGCTAGGCAAACAGCAAAGAAGATTATATCAGAGAAGCTGGTGCCTTAGAAGAAGCCTATTCTATGCTGCTTCACATATCCAGTATTTACAGCAGATTTTTGTCAAGATATTTAGGTAGAATCCATTTCAGATGTAGAGAAGAGTTTCTTTTCCCATGAATCTCAAAAGATTCATCTTCAATTTTTGCTGCAGTGGAGTGTGAAAATAATTTCTCCTAATGCCATTTCTGAGGAAAAACATTGACAGTGAGGATAATATCCTAAATCCAGATACATATACACACTCAAAATGACCAGGCTTTTTGTATTATTATATAATAAATAGTAACAACAGTGACATTTATAACTGGTAGGAAGTCATAAAATAAAACAGATTGGCTGCTCTTCTCACTTCAGACCCAGTTTTTGGACTCTGTTTCTTTTGCTTTAAATTACTAGTCTTAATTTCCGCTGAAGTAACAAAGCAAAAATTGTGTTTTATATAACTGATTTCATTCTTAGCTTTCTACTTTTTTATCATGAAAGAGTAACATGATTTTATAGCTATGTCACAATTGTGCATTTAATACTGAATATATATATATTTTTTTTAAATAAATAAGCTGTAAATTCAGTTGAACCCTCTTGAGAGAAGTGTTACAGGCATTGTGATAAAGACTTTGCATGATCACAATGGTTTTCCACAGGATCATTATCTACATCAGTGAGCAGAATGGATGGTGATCTGTTAATGAGCTCTTCTATGTTTGTTTTATTCTTGTTGCTGTGTATGTGAGGCTACCTTTATCTCCTTGACTCTTTTCTAACTCAGACGAAAGGACTGCATTACTCATTTCCCTGTGGGCTGGTATATGAATGGCATTCAGCAATTTGATGTCTAAGTGTTTCGCAAATTTCACCTTCATTATAGTGTTGTGTTATGATGTCTAAAGTTAATTACTGTCACTAAACAGAGAGATTAAGAACAAGCCTGCTGGTTTCAGATACCTAGTCTAAAACTCCTGCAGTTTTAGCACGACATAGTTGCAGCTGTACATAATCAGTGTTCTGCCAAATCATACACAAGGAACAAAATTGGATATGCAGAAAACAATTGTCCTGTAACTGGCAGCCAGGTGTTGTGTGCCTGGGACTGTATCCTGCCAGAGACTCCCACTGCAGGTTAACTCAGCTTTAACCCTTGCCACCAGCTTCAGTGGTGCCTCCAGCTTTCAGGAAAATGAGGAACTATACCTTTACAAGCACTGCAGAGTGTACACAGTGGGCATCTGGAAAAATCCTGCGTGCCTTTGAATACCATCCAAACACAAAGATGTGAGAACAATATGTACTGACACCTGACAGTATCAATAATTTTAGTTGAAATGGCTGGTGACTTTGGATTTCAGACAAGGTACGTATGTACTAGATTTTGAACTTTATGTCTACAGAGATTTGGTCAAAGATTCATTATGTTCTGAATTTTTAAAGAACAAAAAAGTGGGGAAAACAAAACAAAACAAAACAAAACAAACATGAAAAGCTTTGTGGCCATTACAGGTACATCTTCATTAATCTATAAATAAGATCACCTAGCTCGTTTGATATGTGTGTTTTTGTGCTATTATATATGGTACCAACATGCATTAAAACATTGTTAGAAAAAGTTTACATTCAGGTTCAATTTTTTTTTAAGTTATTTCCAAAGCATGTTTTTAGGGAATATTCATTCAAAAGATACCAGGTTCAGGTTTCAGCAGGTGAAAGAACTTACTGTTACTTATAATATTGAGCAGTATCTGGACTTCAGTACTGAGTTCACTAGTAAGCCCAGGGACGTTTTCCTGTATTTCTAGTTTTGTTGATGGAAAATATGACAGGGTTGTATCTAGAAAAATTAACAATATCTGCATTAGAATTTATGGTACATACCTCTTTCTGCTTGTAAATCCAACAGCGTGCCCAAGCTCACCTCTCTGTGCCAAAAACAGAACTGTAGAGGAGTTCAATTTCAGTGGAACAGACTGGACTGCAACATTGGGTTGAGTGACATTGCCCATCAAAGAAAATTCTTCCATTGTTTTTGTGAGGCTGCAATAAAATAATGAGTGGGAATAAAGTCACCTCTAGTTGTTACAAGCAGCCATAGGCTCAGCTCCCTCTCTGATTTGACTCTCTGACACGTCAGGTAGAGTGAAGAAGCTGTGCGTGTTCTCTCTAAGAACAGGGGAAATCCTGTACTTTTGAAGTCGACAGAAACATTGCTTTCTAACATCAGGAGAAGCAGAATTTAGTCATACATGCACCTAGGAATGGGGGCAATGTGAAATCTGGCATACAGTCAAGTATAAAACAGCTTGTTAAGTAAGTCAGAAATTTCTAACAAGCGCAGGAAGTTGCTCCTTTGTGGAGAGTGTGTTGGTAGCTTTCTCTTTCCACATGCTACAAATTGCAATAATACTTCAGACTTCTGTGAAGTGCAGTGAAATAAAATGGAAATGCTTTTAAGTGGCAGAATACCAGCTAGTAGGTTAGTCCACAATGTAAGCCCCTATCCATCCATAGGTAGTATTGTGAAACCCAAACAATTTGCCAAAACTGCTGATGACAACCAACAACCAAATTGGAAAATTCCAAAAGTCCCCACTTCTCATTCCCTGTCCTCATTCTTTATCCAAAGCAGAAAAAATCAGCCAAAATTGTTGATGTAAATTTACTGAAGTAATCAAATTTTACATGGAGTTGAACACTGAAGAAGCTTTGGTACCTTCATGATGATTTTCATTCTGAAACACAAGGGAAAATGCTATTTGCTAGATCTAATCAAAAAGGGCAAAGGCTGAGGTTACCTTGCTGTAACATTGACAAGATTACTGTCATTGAATTCTGTTTCGTTGGCATCCAGGAGCTGACTTACTGTAGTTAAAACTGCCACAGATGCCTGAGTCAAGAAGGAAAAAAAAAAAAAGAAAGTACTGTTCACAAGCAGTTAAAATAAAGAATCCCTTGTTCTACAGTGAGTGTCCAATTTTTTTGCTTCCCTGAACCACACTGAATGAAGAGGAATTATCTTGGGCTACATATAAAATACATAATAAAGTTAATGTATATAAATATAAAAACTTTATTAAAACTTAACTTTTTAATTAAAACATTAAAAAAAGAACAACAAAAACATAAAACTAGGGGGTTGGCATGTATGTAATCTACATAATGCACTGGCAAAGTAAAAATGCAGTAGAAATCCCTTGAAAATACATGCTGTGGAGTAAACAAAATAAAGGGTGTAACTAGAGAGAATACAAGCTTAAAGTCAATGGCTCATATATACCACACTTTTATTAACTTAGGGAAAATTAAATGATGAATTTAAACATCAAATGATGCTAGTATTAGAATTCCAGAATATGGGTCAGTCCATACAACTGATAAAACCAAATTTACATTCTGCTTTGGGAATCGAAGCAGCACTGAATCCACAAAAATGCACTCAGGGCCACTGAATCACTAAATGGCAAAATGGATGCCTTTGGTTGTGTTGTTATGTAAAGTTAATTGGAAGCACACTGGAGAGAGTTACTTGTGCTGATGGAGGGGAGAGAGAATCCATATCCCAAATATTAAGCCATAAAAACTTTTTTCTGTCCTATTAATGCTCACCTTAGAATCTTCTGAAACATTTGGTTTTCTTAGAATCTGCACTGCAATATTCGCAGCAGCAGAGATGTCCTGCGTTGTCAGTCGACTGGGAATGGAGGTAAGGATCTGAGTATTACTTGCAATTGCTGAAACATTGCTGATGTCTGAAGTTTCTACCTACCAGGGATATGCCATTCAGCAGAAAGAAAATAAGAAAGGGAAAAAAGAGTTAACATTTTCATAACATTCTTACATAAAATCAAATTATGCATGTAGAAAAAGAGGAGTCTGACCATGTCTTTCTCCACTTCTTCCTAGCAGGTGGCTGCAGGCAGTAATTAGACCTCCTTGAGCTTCTGAGTTTGCAAACTTCTGTTTGCCTTTCACTATCCCTTGAATAACCAGAACTGGATTTTTTGAAAAGCCATCTGAAGAACTTAGAAATGTAATTCACAATTGCAATGCGTCTTAGCACAGCACTCATAAGCTGCAATGAGGACATAGTCCTCACTTCAGCACCTTGTAGGGCAACAAATAGGAATAAATCTAGAAAAGGAAAAAATATTCTAGCACTGGGGTAATAACAAGAATTTTTAGAAGCTCTGGATGGATCTGGATGGAATCTGTTTGTCACTTTAATGTGCAGGGCATAAACGTCCGTAATATCTTAGGCATGCAAACACACACACACAAAATAAGGCATTATCTGTATATTACATGAAGGCATAGCTAGGTGACAATAAGATTTAAGGGTGTGGAGAATGTGCTAATCATCAAAAGAATATTTTTCATAGGTTATGGAGATTGACAGTGCACCAAATCATACCTTTTCTAAACCGCTAAGCTGTCAAAATCAAGTTTAATTAAATCATGCAAATTTGAAGAGTTTCTACAACTCAGAGTAGTAGGAAAGAAAAGTTAATGTCCTGCATGGGGAGGAAAGAGTTCTTTATCTATAATTACCAGGGAATTACTATTGATATTTGATAACATCAGGATGTGCACCATGTACACTGTGAACACGTATGCCACTGTTCTGAATTGTAGCATCACTTTGTATTCATAGTAAATATTTGCACTGACAGGAATAAAACCCTTTTAAATCCGGCCTGTGGATCACTAGGATAAACATCTCTTTGGACTCCTAGTGTGCCATCTTCAGAACCTGGGCTGGCCTAGGTTCACTAGATGGCAGTACAACATAAAAAATCGTAACAAAACTCAAAATCACTGATAGCAGCAAAACAACTTTATTTTTGCAACCAAATACATACCTGTATCTTTTTAGTATTATAAAGCTACTACTAATATACATGTATGTTGCTGCCCAGAGAGGTTATGGAGTCTCCTTCTCTGTAGATATTCAGCAAGCTTTCCTGTGTGACCTGCTGTAGGAAACCTGTTTTAACAGGGCGTTGGACTTGATCTCCAGAAGTCCCTTCCAACCCCTACAGTTCTATGGTTCTATGATTCCATGATTCTGTGATATTATTACAGAGAAGATTTTACTTGTGATCCATTTAATGAAAGTTATACACTGGGAAACTATCTTAGTCTGAAGGATTCAAGCAAAAAAAAAAAAAATCTAATGAATAATCAGCTCTCCTAGAACTGTACCTGGTTTCTTTTTCTTTTTCCTTTTTCCTTTTTCAGTTGGAACTTGTAGTAAGGAATAGAAGAGTAGAAGCAGAAGAGGAGCAGTTGCTGTCTGTAGCATGCATAATTGTGTTCAGTGCCCTATGTTTTGGGCACTGGTATGGTAGAGCTAAGGCTTAAAGCAAAGCATAAGAGTTTATGGTTTTATCAGGAGCAGCTTGTCATTCATCAAGTTATTGAGAGACAAGAGTGTTTCATCCATGCTCAACTTATCATGGGATTGAATGGAGAGGCTTTGCTCTTAATCCTTCCTAACAGTGTTAGCACCACTGTGTTCTCTCCCACTGGTCTTCTTGAAATCCCTTCCAGTTTCTCCTTAGTTCAATATCCTGGGTCAGCATTGCTTCTACACTGAGGTGTTTGCTGTGATATGGGAACCTGAGAGAGGAGCTCCCAGGCTGGTTAGGTAATATGAAGTGGGATGCTGTATTCAGGCAAAAACAAGCAAAATTAAATAATCACAGTTGGAAAAATGCCATTTGCAAAACAGACACATCCCAAGAATTCCTCTGCAAATACGTTCATAGTTCATTTTTCTGTCTGTAAAGTTTTAAAAAATGTAACACAATCACACACTTCCTGCCTCAAGTACCTATTGCATTTTTTTTAATGTGATGCTGCAGAATCTCTGTTGCTCTTTAAAGAGCATGCTAAGATATAATTGAAGATTACCTGTAATGCTAGAGAGTCCAGATTTTCGTTACAATTCAGAATACTGGGAGTCTCTAAAACTGGAATTATTCCCTTTCTGGAACACAGCCGGACTGCAATTGAAGAGTTACCTGTAATTTTGTAAAAAACATTCAGATATGCATTTCATACAGATGTGGTTGCTTACATGCGCATGACTTCACTGGGAATTGAAATTGTACACACAGTGGGTGTGACTGTCTATCTGGTGTTATTTGCTGTTTGCATATAAAACATTTGTCTCTTGGGATTACAAGTGTCCATCAATCATTGTTCTTTTTCAAACATATTTTGTACTCAGACAAAAACTTGTCAGAGTTGCCAAAATTACTCTTGCCAGATTCAGATAGGTATTAATATTCTAGAGCTATAGAAACACGTCTTTTAAACCAGAGACAGAAATCAACACTAAACCATCTGAGAAACTGTTTATCATATCTTGAAAAACATATTCCAAATATCATTAAAAAAAAAAAAAAAAAAAGGTCTTGTGGAGATCCATGCAATAGATACTCCACTGAAAGGTCTTGAAAGCTGGTATGTGCTACTGGAGTACTCTGTACTTTCCAGAACTCTTCTGTGAGAAGCCCAAATCTTGCTTTTTTTCCTGATTTAAGTGATACCAAAATGCAACCATGCAACCACAGTTCATGGAAAGTGCCCTGAATCCTAATGTTAAGTAGTAAATTATAAACAGATAATCCTTCTATCAAACACTTGTTCTTTAGTGACATGAACTGACTCTCAGACAGGTTTTGAACAGCATATATATGTGTATCATATCAATTACATTTGAGGCATAAGACTGTGAGGATAGATTAATGCTCCTGCTGTCTGAGCTCTGCTTTAAGCAAAAATCTCTGATCTCCTGCTCTAATGAGTTATATCTTTCACAAACCTTACATTTGCCTTTGGGAAGTGAAAGAAAGTGAAAGAAGCAAAAGAAACACGTACCATTCACAGTATTAGGTCCACACTTCTCTTTGGAGCTGCTGTATTTACCCACTAAAATCTTTTCAAAAGTAAGGTTTTTTATAACGTTTTCAGAAACATTCATTGTGTAAATGCTGTCTTCACAAAAGTTAACTGTACAGAAAGAAAAAAAACCAACATATTCTGATCAAACTTTTTAAAGAGATGGAGCAATTTTCAAAAATAAAATTTTATACATTTTATTATGTATATTATGTCCATGTATAAAATGTTATACATAGACAATAGAAACTCATTGAATCTTTTGCCTTAAAAGAAATAAATGACTGTTAAAGCAGTTAGATAAATCTTACCTAAAACCAAACTGCTGTAAGAGATCTTGAAGTCACCAAAGACATAAAAGCCCATAACTTTTACTACCTGCACTATTTTCACTGCCTTAGCCCTGGTATATTTGAAAAAGTTGATAAAGCTTTACTCTCAGAATCTTGCTACCTAGGCATTAATTAGATCTGTAACTTAATACCACAGAACACAGCAGAGGGGGGGACAGAAATCCAAATTTGCTGCGAATAAGACTCCAACAATTAATGGGGGACAGTCTTTGGTGACTGAAACATGATGTCTTAGACGTGATTGCTGGAATGGGAGGTGGTGGCTCAGAAAGGCCCCTTCATGTCACCCCCCAAACCCTACACCTTTGCCAAACACTTCATATTGGCTGCTTCTACATGCAGAATGAACTTAGTGGACTGTGGCCTGACCCAGTATCACAGCCTATTGCATCCTAATTTCATGCCACACTGATATAACAATGCAAATTGACCTTGCAATGTTGCAAGTGCTTGAAAATATACCACAGCATGGTCTTAGGATGTGCAGCATCTTGTACTTGCTAATTTTTGTTAGTTGAGACCACATTTCAGGTGCTTGTGTCCCATTAGCAGGCATTAGACAAAGAAGAATATTTATGGTCCTGAGAGGGCTTGGGAAACTTGGAGCCCCTCTCCATGTCCTGGCACTCATTTCCTTGCTAAGTCACATAACTTTTTGTGGATCTGATTTTCTACAGGTTCTGCATTTGCTTAACCAGCAATCTCCTTGTCTATACCCATGTCCCAAGTGCAGAGATCAGCATTTGCCTTTGCTGGCTACTGTGAGGCTTTCCCTGGATTTCTCAAGGCTCTTCTTTATTGAACTGAGAACTAAATGGCCTTAATTTGCACCAAGGGAGGCTCACATTGGGTATTAGGAAAAATTTCCTCTCAGGAGGAGTGGTGAGATATTGGAACAGGCTGCCCAGGTATGTGGTGGAGTCACCACCCCTGGAGGGTTTCAAGAAAATGGTAGATGTGGCACTGATGACATGGTTAGGAGGGATGTGGTGCTGACAGGCTGATGGGTGGACTAGATGATTCAGTGATTTTTCCAAACTTAATTACTCTATGATTCTATGAGGTTCTACCATTAAGTGTGTCAACAATACCTCCACATCACTGCAAGTTTAATATTGCTCATGGATTTGCTGAGAGGGCATTCTGTACCATTATTCAGATTGTTTATGAAGATATTGGGCAAAGCTGGCCCTAGAATCAACCAGCAGGTTGCCTTAATTTTTCTGTATGTCAGTCAAGCCATTGATACTAGACTTTGAGCTCAGCCATTTAGTTAATTTCAACACAGCAAATGGTCCATTCACCCTACTTGTACGTTATCACTTACCAAATGAGAATGCTGAGGAAGATAATACCAGATGCCTCGCTATACGCAAGATGTCTTACATCTCTCACTCTCCATTGTTTACAAAGCCAGCTATTTTCTACTGAAGGCAGTCAGGTTGCTCAAGCTTGAATTGCCATTTGTAAAACCATACTCATTATTCCTAATAATTCTTGTCTTTCACATGCATGAAAATAGACTCCAAGAGAATGTAGTCCAGAATCTTCTACGGTCTGAGGAGAAACTGACTGGCTTATGTCTTCCAGAGTTCTCTTTCTTTAAGGATGGGCATAATGTTGGTCTTTTTTCAGTTTTCTGTAGTCTCTCCTATTCACCATGGTTTATCACAGGTGACAGAAGCCCCACAGTGACATTAGCTAGGTCTTGCAGCACTCTTGCATGAATCCTGTCTATGCCTGTCTATGCATTTGAATACTTTTGTGTTGATGCTGCCTTCCTTCTGATAATGAAACCCAGGAATGGGTTGCTACATTCGTGCATAAATGCATATACATTCATAGATGAATTTAAGATTTATTTTGTGTCATTTCAGTTATTCAGGTCTGAATGTGTTTTTGGCTGGTTTGTATACGTACTTACACTACTTAGTCTTTGACTTATAAGAAAGAGTTTATCTGAAATAAAACTATTTGGTGATTTTTTTCCCCACTGATGCAAATCTCAAATTATTGCAAATATTCTGAATGTATAAGTAAGGTTGGTCCAGAACTAAACAGAAAAATGATCAAGCAAACGAAGTAGGAACATTCCACACTCTTGATGCTCCACTGGGCGCCCGGCCCTCACCATTATGTCCTACATTCATCTTTTGATTCCCAATACATAATATACACATCTTTATTTTGTCAGTTGTTAGAGAGGAGGCAAATGTCATGGATAGTTGGGAGTGGCTAGGAAGGACTGACAAGCAAGTTGAATTTGTCAGGAAGGGAGAATAACAGACAGATGGGCACTATGAACTTTTACAATTTACAGCAAATCAAATACAAAATACCCCTAGGAGTGGACATAGGAAATTAGAATTAACATCATGATTTGTGTCCAGTGCTGAAATTCCAGACAATTTCTCTGAACTATTTTGCTCAAATGTTCCAATGCATCATGAACCCATCCAACCTGTCATTGTTTGCTGGCTGCTCTAACCAGTTTCGTCACAAGGAAGCAGTACAGCAGACCTGAAGTTTCCATCCACCTAGCATCCTCACCAAGAATAATTTCCTGGATAAGCTGCAGACCTTGCAGCATCCATCTGAAAAATAGAGTGAGTTCATTTGACAGAGGTACAGCTGCACAGTTAGCCACGTGGGAGCCTATCTGCATGTCAGAGTGACCACAGTGAAGGTTGTAACCTCCGAAAATGTGTGCTGGTTGGTCTTACCAGCCCTGGTGATCATCTGGGAGCACCCCCTCCATTTACACCAGCGCAGAAATGCTGTGCTGTGGCAGAGAAGCCTGAAATGGGAGGCAGCCAGGCCAGTGCTACACCGGGTGTCAGAAATCTGACTCACCCAAAACTTGTGGCTGTGGTAGCAGGAACTGAGGATACTGCAGTCCCCTCAGTAGTGCAGAGCTGAATAGTGCCCTCTTGGCACCAGCAAATCCAGAGAGAGCAATACTGGCCCCTGAGATCTGACTCAGATTTTCAAGTCACTGTGATGTTCAAACAGAGGAATTCAAACAAAGGCCAAATTGGCTAGAAATAGACCACAGACAGCTGAAACCCCTAATATCTTCCCCAGATATATTACTCATTCAAAAGAGTGACAGAAGTGGGTGAAATATACAGCCTCACTGAGCAAGACGAACCACATCACTTCTTGCACGCCTGACCCTGCTGAGCAGGGCTGAGGAGACAGGAGAGGAGTCAGCTGCTTCCAAAGCAGAGGGAACTGCAGACATCGCACCATTTGCTGGTGCTGCCTTGCTTGTACTGACCTATGTCACAAAATTGTCCAGTCCACTCGTTGGGGCACACACAGGCTCTATCCTGGCAGAATCCACCATTGAGGCAGAAGCAAGGAGGTACCACAGGTCCTGTAGTTTCTGTGTAAATAAATTATCAATATGTAGATACACATAAGTAAACATAAAATATACATGTATATGAATAATTTGATGATGGGAAGTAACAAATATGATGCTGATTTATTTGGATCTTCATCTAAAAAATATTTCATTCTGTGATCCACAAGCTAGCACATACTCAGCCACTGGTTTGTCTTTATCTCCAGTAACAATGCTGTGAAAGTGTAGTCAGAGCTTTCAGAAATTAATCTGCATTCCCACAAAGACATAGGCCAGAAACTGTTCTGTGTAGCTGCCAGAAGAGCAGGAGCAGTATGGGCCTCCAGTCTGCAAGAAGCTCAAGCTGTTGAATATGTGAAAAGCCCAAATTGCTTCTGCAGGGTTTCAGAGGAACAAGGGGGCAAAAGAGGACCACAGATTCCCCAGACTAAAACTGGTAACAAGCAGATGGATAATCAGACATCCAAGAATCACAGAGAGATATTCTGATTTAAGCCAGGAGCTATGGGATAACACAGATGAAAAGCCATGCCCTGGTCTCAGCCACAGCTTCTATTCACACTCTAGGACAGGTGCCAATTTTCACTCTGTTTTTTGGCAAGAGTAGAGGGTTTTGTCTGAAGTAATCATTGCACAGGCTGCTGTAGCTTCGAGAAACAAACAAAAAAAACCAGCATATATGCAATAGCAGTGAAATTGCTGATCTCAGAAACTTCTGCATATGCCATGATATTGGCAGTGTTCAACAAGCTCTGGAAAAATGTAGGTTTCTCAAAAAAAGACACTGGAAAATCTTGAACGTCTAAGGAGTGTTCTGCAACAGATAGTGCAGTAGAGAAGCTGTTGGTGGACCTCAAGCTTTGAGAGATGGCTTGACGACATGGGGAATTCCCCACGAACCAAGACTTCCTCTCAGTTTATCTCACTCAGTCCAGAAGTGGAGGGTGGAGTTTGGAGTCCATCTGTAACATTCACAGTGAATATAGTGCTCTGAGGGCACTTTATTCCTTGAAATTATACAGAAAGATGAAGCTGAGGCCTACCAATGGATATGACATTTTAGTGTCTGTGTTTTGAAATGCTGGCAAAGGGAATAAAGACAGAAAATGTAAAAGTTAACAGTGCTGTCAGGAACACGTGTGCTATTGTATATTCCTCATGTTCTCACTAAGACTGCTTAATTTCTTACATTTTAGTGGGATTCATATAATTGGAAAATTATTGCAAAATACAGAGGATATGCCACGTGGCTGGGGTAATTCAGTTCTTGGCAAGCATTGCTCAACTCTTGCTCATGTTGCTGCTATTTAGTATTTGTATTTCAGTCTGCCTCAGCTATGTTTCAGCCAGATGTCTATGATGCTAGCGGAATAACATCTATGGGCAGCTAGGTAACGTCTCCACCAGCCATCAGTCATCCAAAACATATGGTTTCTCCACTGGAAATCTTACAAAAAAGGAAGAGAAACTCATGCAGCAATTGAGATCTTGATGGCTCCACCTCAGCATTTGCAAAGAAGGGCTCTGCGAGGGCAAATTGGGTAGATGTTTGAACTGCTCATGCTCCATTGCCCTTTTCTAGGGCAATGTAGCAGAGAAACACTAGGCCTTACAGTAGGATCCCTTTAGGCCTGGGAACTCACAAAATGCCTGGGAATCTGTAGCACAGCTCCAGGCCTCCATCTTGTTTGGTGAACTTGTGCCTGAAGTAAACATGGTATACAGAATCCCTAAAAACAAAGCTGCAGGAGTGCTGCCTTGCAAATACATCAGATTCTGGGCTGCCTACAGGAGAGTAGGGGAAGGTGATCAAGCAGGGCAGCCTTGGGCTGGAAGCACTGATGGTGGTACTTCTAGTGCCAAGAAGGCTGTCGGGATCTAACCTTCATAACTACCCTCCACGCAGTAAAACACTTAGGCCTAAATAATAGTGGCATTGGCTTAAAAATATAGGGTTCTTCTGTTTTTATTTTAAGTTTCAGAAAACATATCCTTTTTATTTGTCTTTGGCTTTTAAGTTTTGTGGAAATTAATCATTTCAAGAATAACATTGATTTTGACTGTATATATATTTAAATCAAAACTAATATTCTTGCATCATACTACGTCATCAAGAACTTTTTATTTTGTCATGTTTTGTTCTTAAACCAAGCATCCCGGGAACTGCTAAGGCTGATAATTGCAGTTAAAGTTTGGAGAAAGAAGAAACACTACTCCATCTATGCACAGCAGGTGCTGCATCATGTGGATATGAAGATATCCTCCATCCTTGAAGCAACTGCAGTTTACAAGTAATTACAAGTAATTAATATTTATTTCTGTGTCATTTTGTGTGTTTAGGTGTGTTCCCTCCCTGCAAACATCTGATAAATTACCTGAAGCAAATATAACCTAATGAGAATGTATACTTTTCTCTGTTCCTTCTCTTAGCCTCCAGTTACATCTGACTTTTTGCTGAGCAAGCAGCAAGGAATAGCTGATTCTTTCTATGAACTTTATTTTTGTATGTGTCCATGCATGAATTTGTATCATATCAATTTATTGAGTATTCTGCTGAAAGGAAACCCTGGCAAATTTTCTGCTTCAAGTTCATACAAGGAACTGTTTTCAGAGAGTACAGTGACCTGATTTTCAGATATAGAATATGCAATCGGTGTTTCCTACATTCCTTCCACAAAGTTTTCTATAATGCACATTGTAATAATGTCATGGACAGGTGCTATACAACATGTTTTGTTTATATGATGTTCCTTATCTTGTAAAGCTAGATAGTAACACTTTAAAGCATGATTTACCAGCCTAGAAAGAGATTTGATTCTATCTTTTGAAAAGTAGATCAGATTTATACCAGAAGAGTAAAGAACACTCAAGACAATTCTCCAAAGCTATGTCAGAGAATTAATTAAAGAAGATAGATATTTCCACCTAAAAAGCCCAGGGCAGGGATGAAGCTAACAGTAATCATGTTTAAGCACTTCAGAAAAGGCAGAAGAAAACAAAGAGCTTGGATACAGCTCAAATGGTGCTGTATTTCTTACCTTTGTGAAACCTCACAACAAGCTGCCAAATGCACAGGGAACAGAGGGTCACAGTTACTGCACAGCAAGCAGTCCCAAGCAACACTCTCTCCCAGTGGAGTGAAGGCATGTTGCAGTTCCAAATGTCTGCTCTGCTATAAAATTATATTATACATCCATAACCTCGTGATGGATAAACCATTAACTGCTACTTACCTACCACTAGAACTTTAACCGTTTCGGTTCCATTTAGGGGAAAAAAAAAAAAAACAAAAAGCACAGAAACACACATATTTGTAGAAAAGACCAAATAATTATTTCAAACATTTTTCACACCACAAAATATCTCACTTATCAAGACATTATATCTCAAGTATTCTTGTTGCTTGGAGCAGGCACCCAGCTATGCTTGTACTAACAAAGCCAGATCCCATTTGCTGTGTGTGTCAGGCCCACAGCCATGCTGGTGGACCTCTCCTCCCTCCCTGCACAGCACCCCAGTACACATCAGCAGGGCTTGATGGTCCCCAGATGAGGGGTCCATGGTCCCAGGACACTGCCTGGCATGGCTCTACCTGTGCTGGGCAGGGTGTTAATACCAGAGGCCTGTCAGGGCCACTACCAGAGTGCTAATAGCAGGGAAGCCAGAGGTCTGAGGGGGGAGGCTGGAGAGGGAGAGGAGAACGTCTTCCCCTGGTGAGAGGTAATGGAGATGGAAACACTTTATTATAAGTGTTTATAATAAACACTTTATTATAAGACTTTATTAGGGCTGGCCAACAGCAGGCCTTGGTGTTTAATTTCAGGAGAGTAAATGGCACCTCCACGCCATGTAATTGGGACAGGTGGTGAAGTAGAGACTATTCAACAGCTGCCCCTACCTCTGCCCAGGCTGGTAGCTGCAAACCACTGCACAAGGCTTGTGCCCATCTGACAGGGGTTGAGGCCCTGGCACACCATGGTGCAACCACCAACAGTTAAATAAGAGGAATACAGAATCATAGAATCTTCTGAATTGGAAGAGACCATTAGTGATCATCTAGTACAACTCCCCTGCAAGGAACTGGGACACCTACAGCTAGAGGAGGTTGCTCAGAGCCCAGTCTAGACTGGCATTAAGTGTCCTCAGTGATGGGGCATCTATCACCTCTCTGGACGACCTGTGCCAGCTCCATAACTGCTTTTTAAAAAACACACACACACACACACACACACACACAAAAAAAACAAAAAACAAAAAAAAAAAACAACAAAAAAAAAACACCTTTCTCCTTATATCCAGACTAAATCTCCCCACTTTCAGTTTGAAACTATTTCCTCTTGTCCTGTTGGAACAGATCCTGCTAAAGAGTCTGCTTCCTTCTTTTTCATAGCCTCCCTTTACATACTGAAAGGTCTCTGTCAGGTCTTCCTAGAGCCTTCTCTTCTCCAGTCTGACCAACCCCAGCTCTCAGCCTGTTCTTGTAGATGTGTTCCATCCCTTGGATCATTTATGTAGCCCTCCTCAGGATGTGTTCCCACAGGTCTACATCTCTCCTGTACTGAGGACTACACATCTGGATGCAGCGCTCCAGGTGAATAGAGGGGTATGTGGGTAGTAACCTCTCACTTCTCCCCATCTGAAATAGAAGTGTCATCTACCTTATTCTTGAAGGGATTCCAGATGCAAACCGTGGTGTCCCTTGGGGAGAGCCTCACTGCATCATCTCTGTGCATCTCCTCCATTAAATGAGGAGGCACTGAGGCAACAAGGAATAGAACCTGTGTCTTTGGGCTTGCAGGACATCTGTCTCATTCAGATAGAATGAGAAAGGGAAAGAAAATTCTGGAAAAACATGCACAAAAAATGTGAAGAAGAAAATTTACAACTCAGGAACTGCTAAAACCAAAATTCTCTTCATGCTATCATGTCTCCTACTGACAAATTTAAAAGTATGATGTTAATGTCACTGTCACTGTCAAAAAGAAGAGGCAAGCAGAGCTATTTAAAAAAAATGATTCAGAATAAAGACTGACATTTTTTTCATTGGTAACCAGTGAATGAGTCCCTGGTACATGAGCAGGAACAGCGTCCTGCTTTTACATGGTGTTCTTCAGCAGCTCTTAGGAAGGGAAGGGAGCTTTTTAGGCTTCTTTGCCTGCAGAAGCACTTTCATCCCAAGTTTAGAAACAGGTCTCAAAAAAAAGGACTTGTGTAGAGCCAGTGAGAGCAAGGCAGACATAAATAGACAGGGCATTCTGGGGGGAAAATGAGTCACAGAATAGTCCAACACGGACTTAACCTATATTCAGTATAGACCCAACTGTGAGGATTGTTATTAAAAGCATACTCAGCTCCCACATCTAGTGTCCTTTGCTCTTAGAAGTGCTTCCGTGTGATAGCAAGGGCCTTGTGTACTCACAGAGATAGCAAAGCAGGAAAGAAATAAAAACTAAATTCCGTGTTTACTAATGCTGCCTTTACTGTTCAGTGAAAATATCATCTCTCCTTCATTCCTTTACATATCTGATATCACTGTATGTCTTTGAGTGAGATGTTGTCTCTCTACCATGATTCCAAAATTTTGTCTCAGGTTGCAAATGAAGATGGTTTGTCAGCTGGGAAGTGGTAGGAGAACTATAGGCTGAAAAGATGGGGAGCTTCTAACTTCACCAGAGCTCTTTATATAAGCCTCAATAATCAAACAATAATGGCATAAGGAAACAGATGGCAGAATTTAAACAAAAATACATCCTAGAGGATGGTATAGTTTATTTATGAAAACAATAATCTTTTCTTATATGATAGAAAAATCAAACTGAAAGAAAACCTTATTACTTGCAAGTTTGTATGTGACACAGCTGTGGGAAGACAGAACTGTTCTTGAGTGACTGGATGTGTTTCTTCTGCTTCTCTCCATTTCCTTTGAGACTTAATTGAAGCCAGATGTTTCTTATTTCCTTTCTATTTTTTGTTTTCAAGCCCAAATAAAGTGCAGTGCCAGCAGTAAACACCATCTTTGACATTTTTTCATGTGTCAACTACATCTGGTTGAATCACAGTTACAAACAAGTAAAACTCCAGCAAAGCAGTGCAGGATTCTATGATTCTATCATTGTAGGATTTCACTCATGCTGTCATTCAATTGTTAAGCAGGAACTCAGCATCGTTGCTTTTGGGGTTGCATACAGGTGCCATAAAAACCCAGAGTGTATCTGGGAACCTCATTCCACCTAAACAGCACTGGAAACAGACTAGCTAGAGGAAATTTCTATCTGCTCAGTTGCTAATCAGTTGCATGGATCTTCTTTAGAAATGCAACCTGTTGTCCTTTTCTTCTTTCTCCCTTTCATAGATGCAACAATTTGCAGACATAACCATCTCATTTCATGCCCTTGCAGTGATGTTGACCCCTTGGCTAACATCCCTTTCAGAATATCTTATTAAAATGCAGTAGCCCTTACACAAGAACTTTTTTTTTCTGAATAAAGCTCCAAACCATGATGTTGTATTTGTAATTATGCTTTTTCAACTATTTATTAAAATGTATTTTTATTCTAAGAAGTGTATGTAGTGTCTTACAGAAATCCATAAACTGCAATGATTTCACATCGAGTTACTAGAAATTACTATTCTGAAAGTCATTTGAAGACTAGTAATGCCCTGTTCGACAAATATTAAGCTTTTTCCACATATTTTGAGCAAGTACATATTTTACCTAGAACAGATTTTAGAGGCAAGTGCCCAGCAGTTTTCCAGTCATTCTCCTCCCTTTTAATGGATGTGTAGTCCTTGGGAGTACTTGAAATTCAGTCTTTATTCTGCTATTGCACATACTAAGAGACTTTTTGGATAAATAACTATTCTGTTTTCTTCCGTTAACTTCTGCAGCCCTAACTCAACTGCCATAGACCAGCAAAACTGAACCATATAGGGGTAGTACATTAAAGTACCAGATTTACCAAAGCTTTCTGTTACCTCAGTATTTAGGATGAAATCCCCTGCACTGCCAAATTTACTCTAGGTGGGCTGTCAGAGTAACATGCCTATCTATCCCATCCTGCCCCATAATGATTATGTTTTTCCCCTGAAAGCATAACAGACATCTCAGATGAATAAACTGATTTTATTTAAATAAAATTACAGGCATATCTTGTCGATTACACACTACCATATAGTTTTTAAAAGACACCAATATTTAACAATAATTTAAATTCTCTTGAGAGCAGCTACCTTTTCTGAGTGGTGTTTGCAAACTTGTCAGAGTTCCCTCCACTCACTCAGTTCCAGCAAAATCAGACACTAGTGAAATGCCAACACTTGTACCCTTTCCACCACAAAGGCACCCTCCTGTTCTTGGACATCTGTTTTGAATAACACTTGAAAAGACTGAGTCAGATGTTCTGTGTAATGAAAACCCACCCCTGAAGTGCTTGTTTCTGTCCTTTGTGGTACATTATGCATAGAATCCCACCATAACACTCTACATATTAAAAGCAAATCCAAGAAACTGCTCTTTCTTTAAGGCTTCAGTACCTGTTTTACTTGCATTTCTTCAAGTCTGGTAATACAATGCCACCTTCTCTTATACAAAGAGAGGTTTTGGAAGCAGTACATCCTATAGTTCTTGGTAACAGACTGCACTCACTTCCACTTCAGGTTTCTTTTAGAGGCACCTTTGCTAAGCAAAGCAGCACCACAGCTAGCGTGTCTGGTGGTCTCTGATCATTTACAGAGAATTCACCAGAGGGGAATATGAGGAGATGCAGGAGATACCTCAGCAGGCTGAGTTCTGCTAAGGCTCTCGCAAAAGAAAACAAGCAGACAAACACTGTTGAAATAACATCCAGGCATGGACAGGGACAAAGCTGAACTCTTGAAGCTGAGGTGGTCCCAAGAGGAAAAGTGGCAGCTGGCGGCTCTCCTGGCCGTTAAGTCTGAGTACTGGCACTTTCTGCTTCTGAAAAAGCAGGATTTTGCCAAACAGCTTCCATATTCACAGCTCGCTCAGGTGACTGAATCCCATGAGGACCTGTCATTTTGCCAACAGATTCTGGCTCGTTGAGATAGACTTTTGTAACATTCCCCAGGTTCTCTTCCATAAGTAACCATCTTTTCCATTTCCCAGCAATACAGAAGCTTTACACCCC